GAGTGAAGGGCGTTTCTGACGAAGGGCTTGATTTAAACGTTCCAGTAGCTGACTATAGATCTCTGCATTGACAGTTCACTGTGGCTTGAGGAGTTCGAAATGAATTACTCCTTTGATGTTTCACCAAATGCAAAGCACCACTTTCTGCGGATAGAGTCCAGGTTTTGTGATTACAAGTTTTTGTCTAAGACTGAGCCATTGTTTTTGACGTTTAATATTCGCATAGATAATCCATTTTTCATCATCGGTGACAATTCTGTCCAAAAATGGTTCACACACATTACGCGACAGAAGAGATAAAGCAACGTTCACACGTTGGAAACGATGATCATCGGATAGTTCGTGAGGCACCCAAACACCTTCTTTATGGAGTTTTCCCACATTCCTTAGATATTTACGTGTTGTTTCATGAGAGACATGCAATTTCAGGGCCATTTCACGAGTTTGTTGCTTTGGGTTAGACTCAACAAGCGTCTTCAGAGCATCAATATCAGTTCCAACATGTCGGCCCCTGCCATCACAGTTTTCAAGGCTAAAGTCACCTAAACGAAATTTTCTGAACCATCGTTGACACTTACGAACGTTCAAAACATATATATAACCTTCTTTGATATTCTTTGTGGCTACAGAGGCGTTGTTTCTATTCTTGTATTCAAACAGCATTACATTCCGAATGTGTGTGTCTCGTCGTGTGTCATCACTATAAGTGATTAAAGTATACTAAACTTTACACATTAGATAGCCTACACTAACGTGACGTTTAGGCGGTTCATTTAACTATTATACGTGATGTACGTTTTTTGGGGGAAGGTTAATGAAAGTGTTCCAAAACGCGACATTAATTTCTTTAGGATCTAATATTTTGCAAATTGTTTATAATGGGCATAAAATTTCAGAAGTTGATATTACATCTGACGTCAACAACATGATGTGTTTCTATTTATGTACTAACACAACCTTTATATCACAGAAGACTGTTAAAACATTTTTGTTCGAAATCATTAAAAGTTTCTTTCATCCTTGAAATCGGTTCATTTATTATATTTTTATTGTAAACAGATAGCACTGTCATTAAAGATAAGAAGAAGATTGTGAGTAAGAATTTTTTTTTTTCATTAATTTTTGTTACTTTTGTTTTTCATAGTATGCTAAGTACCCATAATTTTACAGGACTTTCATGCCTGTTTAGTAATTCTCAATTATCAGTGCCAGTTATGCACTTGATAAGCAGTATGCTCAACTGAAACACCAGTGATACTTTACTTCAAGAGTAGATATATATAATAGGTTAGATACAAACACCAACTCTCCCTTGTCACTTCCTGGGGGTGTGAAAGGCTAACAAGCAGAAGACACTTCTACTCTTTATATATATACACTACAAAAGATTAGATATGTGATATCAGCATGCCATACATAATTTTAGACAACAAAACCAAATATCAAAATGGTTCAAATTCACGATGTGGTAATCGTAAAATGTATCTTAGCAAGTGAGTAACTACAAAAGTAGGATCTACATAACAGTAAAGACACCTTGTCTGTCAAATTGAATATTTATTAGCAAGACTCTCATGTGTGAAACATTAAGCATTAGAGTACAAGCCTTCAGAGTATCATAGCTAAAACTACTGTCCCTCCGATGAAGCAGCAGTAAGTTCACAGACTCACAATGCTAAAATCTGGGTTTGATTGCAGTGGTGGACATAACACATAACTTAATGTGGTTTGGCTCTAAACCAAACAAACATGTTCACTATATGCAATCAATCAGTGGAAAAGTACCCACAAAATTACAAAAAAAATAAAAAAGATACTACAACTATAAATATTACTACTACTAGAAGAGTGAAATATGCTTTAGGACTTAAATTATGAAATAAAAGATATGCCAAAACTACACCCTGATCAACATCTGTTAAACTGCACATTCATTTGGATGAAATAAATAAACCTAAATACCCATGTATTTTATCCAACACACAGTGTTAATTACCAAGGAATTATCTCAACATATGATGGGCCATACCAGCATGGTGTAAATGAAGTAGCTTATATAATTTTTTACTGGAACAATGCTTGACAGTTTATGTTAAGTTTCTCTATTATTATTATTTTTTAATTTGAATAAAAAATTTATAATATTTACTACTAAATATGAAAAAAAAAAAAACTTTAGTCTATCATACTTTGAAAAATATTATGTTTTTTTGAGTAAAAGTTCTACATTAAAAAGAAATACAAGATTATTATACATGTTAAAAATCATGGAAAATCAAATGGTACATTAGTAAACAGATCAATCAACAAACTCAAAAAATGTGCATTGAAACAGAATTTTCTCCTTTGTTTAAGGTTTTCAAATCATGTGGAACTATTTCGTTATAATTTAACACCCATAAGTCCAATTTTATTTAATAATACATTTAAAATTTTGTTTGACAAGCTGCCTGGCTATTCTATACTAGCTGTTACTGAATAAGGAATACAGTTAAGGATCACCTTTTCTCTATGACAAGAAATCACAGTAGACTGAGGAAGTTCATGACTCCTGTGAAAGTCAGTTCTCTATCTAGTTGCCTAAAAACACAACTACTGCAAACAAATCACTAAATAAATTTTTAGCTTTAATACTTTGCAAACAGAACAATATAACTCAGTACATAATTTTTTATATATTTTCTATACTATGCTTAACAGTAAAACTCACAAACATATTGTGAAATAAAAATATATGTAATAAAAATAAAATATAAGAATAAGAACAAATTCCTTACAAATGAATTGAAATGCATTTGTGAACTAATTAATGTCAGTTTTTGTAGCAACATAAAAAACAAGAGAATAAAGCCAACTTTCACAGTAGGGAGAAGGAACTTGGTTGCAGTGGTTGATATTATCTGAAAGAAGAGATACATGTGAATATGACTCTCTAAATAATCATATATTTATTTCAAAATATAAATTTATACTGGACTGAAAGTTTAACATGATGAAAAATCATAAATATAGTTATTGTAGCTATGTAAATCATTTTAAAGGAGCAGGTGCAAGCCTGTAGGAGGTGACTGAAGAATTAAGAGATGTTTCATTACTCCCTAATCTTCAGCACCTGAGGCTTACTTATGTAACAATTACTGACTCTGAAAGGATGCATGAATTACAAAGGAGAATCTTATGGATTTTGAAAATGTTAACTTCAAAATTGT